TTTTCTTCCGGGCTAGGAGCATCCCCCATGTCTCCGTCACCCCTACTTCCCGCACTCGACCGGCACCCGCGCCCCTTGAGCTGTCGCCGCCGCCGCCGCCGCCGCCGCTGCTGCTGCTCTCGCTGCTGTCGCTGCTGCCCGGGAGGCGGCTGGCGGCGGAGGCTCGGCTCCCAGTGGCCGCACATCCCACAATACACCGCCAAGGAGCCCGGCCCGAGCGCTCACCCTCCTCCTCCTCCTCCTCCTCCTCCTCTTCCTCCTCCTCCCCTCGCCCTCCGCGCCGCTTCCCCGGGCTCTTTCCCGGCGGCGGCAGCAGCTGCGCCGCCAAAGCCCGGGCCCCAGCGGCCCCCCACCCTCGCCCGCGCGCTCCCACACTGCTCCCCCTCCCCGGGGGAGGCCTTTTAATTTATTTATTCTGCTGGGACTGAGGTGGGGGGCTCGGCCGGCGGGGGTGGGGGTGGGGGGCTCCCCGGCTTCTACCTCCCGCGGCCGACTGGGGCGACCTTCGAGTCGCGGCAGCCACGCCGAGCGCCCCGGGCCTCCCCAAGTGTTTGCAAACTGCAGGGCCCGGCGGTGGGCGCGTGGGGACTCGAGGGAGAGGGCCGGGCGGGGGTGGGGGGGGCGACAGTGTGTTGGACGCGGGGAGCCTTGCCGGGGGGTGGGCAGACGTAGACCCCGGAGGAGTTGCAATCGAGGGTTTCCGCGCTCCGGCTTCCTCTCCGGCCCGGGGACCCCTCCCCCCGGAGCCGAGCTGGGGAGGGGAAAACAGGATTTGAACCACATTAGCATTCGCATTCCTGGGAAGGTTGCAGCCCTCGCCTGGAACTGGGTGATAGAAGCTTTTCGCTTTTCTCCTTCTGTTTTTATTTTTGAAGGGGAGCAGCCCTATAATTGTCCTGAACACATGCTTCTCTCCACCACCACCCCACCTCTTTCCTCCAGCCACCAGCGACAGAGTCCCCCCCTTTTTTGCATTTATCTTTTCCTTCCCCTTTCTTTATTAAAGGTCCGGGAGTGGCGGCGGCCAATCAGCGCGCGGCTTCCATTTTGTGAGTTCAACACCGAGGCTCCCGGGCTTCGCGAGGACGCGTTCGCAGCCCCCTCTGCCTCTTCTCTCGGGCGGCCGAGGCGAACGAGCCGCCTCACCCGGGCTTAGTGGCGGTGTATTTCATATTGGGGCTCTTTTCGGGGTTTGTAATTTGGCCGTGGGTAGGTAATTGGCTGGAGCAGGGCGGCAGGGCGCGGCAGCCAATCAGCGCGCGGCTTCTATAGGGCTTGAGTTATTAGACGCTGATCTCAAAACATCCTTCATCAGACACCAAGGAGAGGCCAACAGATGAGGGAAGCCATTTTTCTGCAATGGAATTAAATGGCCAAGTGGGTTTTTCCTTTGTTGCGAGTGGGGAATGTTTTTCCTTTGACTCCACCATCCAGTTCAGGACGCCCGAATGTGTTGTTTAACATTTGTCAGCAGGCTAAAGGACTCAAAATTGGAAGAATGAAGAAGACCTTTTAAAAAGATCTGGATTTTTCCTTATGACTTGGAATCCATCTTTGTCTTGTATAACTAGGTCATAGCACACCATTAATGTCAGCAGTTAACAGTTTTGAATTCCAAAAAACCTAAGTAAACGACATATTTAATTTTTTTCCTCTTTTTTTTTTTTCTTGGATGGGTGGGGGGAGCTTGGCGCTGTCTTAATCTGTATTCTCTTGACTGAACAATAAATTTTTAAATATAGTTTCCTCTATTAAACACTTAAACCTGGCCATCTTATTAACTCCTCTCTTTTTAACAAGGTAATGTTTTAAATGTATAGTTTTAGGACTAGCGAAATGGCAGCAACAAAAAAACTGTGAGCAGTCGTTACTCTAAGTTCCTAAAAACCTTTTACATTGTAAGTACCCAATCCATTCTGTCCTTACGCAGTGCAGTTTTCTTGTTAATGTTGGCTGAGCTGTCCTTAATTTTCCGAACCTTCATCTGCATGTCTGTCTTTGTCTCTCTTGTCTAATAGAAGCCAGTTAAAATGCTTTTTAGACGATTTTGCTTTTATAAAGCTTAAGGTTTTAGCTTCAAGCTTTTGAAAATGTTTAGAGCCATAAATGCTAGTCAGCCTTCCCAGGAACGTTTACCCTCTTTGAAAATCGATCTATTTGAAGAAAAACAGCTCTGTTTTTCTCGCCTTGGTGGTAGTGGTGGAGGGGGGGTGGTTAGAGAAAGGAAGACCTCTTTGTGTAGAAAGGCGAAAACCGTCACAGGAAACTAGATTAAAGCTGGAAAACAAGTCCTAGCTGGTTCAAGCCAAACACCAACGTTAACTCGGTCGTCTTTTCCGTGGTGGTTGGGGTGTCTGGTGTGCCTTTTGCCTTTTGTTTGATTTGACTGTGTGTTTTCGCCTTTTGTCTCTTAATGACGGTCACACCATTGCTATATCCAGAGCAGTAAACAGTCCTCAGCGAAGCCGCCTTTTTGCCAACCCAACTCTGGAAAGGTTGCAGACGTGGAAGGAGCAGAACAATGCCATAAGATTGTAACTTACTAAAAGGTAACAACAAAAAGACAACACCATAACCCTCAACTTTCCCAACTAAACAGTCAAAAAAAAAAAAAAAAGATATTTTATAATAGCTCCAAAACCACTGCCCAGCGTTATCTTCTAGACTCCATGGCACCGGGCTGAGCGGGTAAGTAAAATAATAATAATAATAATAATAATAAAAGTGCCTTTTGCCCCTTGGAAGGAAGCTTAGCGAGCAGGCAGGCCCGGGCTGCAGCGTTTGGGCGCTAAGAGAAGATGGTGTCTGGACCTTTGTGTTTGGCAGCCGGGGCGGGAGGACGAGGAGGGCTCTTCAAACCCCTTTTTTGCCTCTTGTGCCCCAAAGGCGAAAAGAAGGTCTCGCTAGCGACTCTCCAGCGGCCGTGGAGCCGGTCCCTGGCTGTCCCCAGATCTGAGCCTTGGGCGGGGGGAGGGAGACAGTGAAGCGCTTCGGAGAGGGGGGCGCCTAAAAGATGAGGGAGCTTCCCCAGCCGGCTTGGGGCGTCCTCTTCTTCTGCTTGGGGGGGGGGCCTGGACCCCGAAGCCGGCTGCTCGGGGCTCGGGGGCGCGCGTGCTTCCCGGGCGAGGCAGGACAAAGGCCGGCGTCCATGTTGGCACCATGACGCAGCACCGCGCCCGCCTGCGCCCGCGCCCTGCCGCGCCTGTCTCCCCGACCCGAGTTTTATTTTCAGGTTCCGAGCGCAGAGCCACGGGCC